TCCCTTCCTTCCTTCCTTCCTCCCTTCTTCCTTCCTACCTTCCTTCCTTCCTTCCTCTCTTCCTCCCTTCCTCCTTCCTTCCTTCCTTCCTCCCTCCCTTTCTTTCCTTCCTCCTTCCCTTTCTTCCTCCCTCCCTCCCTCCCTCCCTCCTTTCCTTTCTCCCTCTTTCCCTCCTTCCTTCCTTCCTCTCTTCCTCCCTCCCTTCTTCCTTCCTCCTTCCCTTCCTGTCTTGCTTCCTCCCTTCTTCCATCCTCCTTCCCTTCCTTCCTCCTTCCCTCCTCTCTTCCTTCCTCCCTTCTTCCCTTCCTCTCTTCCTCCCTCCCTTCTTCCTTCCTCTCTTCCTCCTTCCCTCCTCTCTTCCTTCCTCCCTTCTTCCCTTCCTTCCTTCCTCTCTCCTCCTTTCCTTCCTCTCTTCTTCACTCCCTTCTTCCTTCCTTTCCTGTCTTCCTCCCTCCCTCCATCCTCCTTCCCTTCCTTCCTCCCTCCCTCCTTCCTTCCCCTCTCCCTCCCTTCCTCCTTTCTTTCTTTCTTTCTTTCTTTCTTTCTTTCTTTCTTTTTTTCTTTCTTTCTTTCTTTCTTCCTTCCTCTCCTTGCTTTTCCTTTCCTCCTTCCCTTCTCCAGGACCTGGGGATAGCACTTTCCTAGCAGGGTCAAGGCCTGGGGTCCATGTCTACCACCTCAATAATTAAAACTGCAGCGTGCGGCTGTAGATTTAGGGGTGCACTGGTTATCGGGAGCTGCTGCACCCTCACTCAGCTCCCAGGAGCCGCTGGTCAGGCAGGAAGTGAATTTTGATGTGCTGCTGTCAACTACAGCCTGGCGCGGCTTTGATTTCATCTTCTTTCTGGCCTGATGCTGCCTTGGTCTTCCCTCTTTCTTCCCCACTTTGATCATTTGTTTTATTTATTTAGTTTTTTCTGTGCTGGTCCTGGGGTTTGAACTCACAGTCTTGATCTAGCACTTAGCTTCCTTCCTTCCTTCCTTCCATCCTTCCTTCCTTCCTTCCTTTCTTTCTTTCTTTTTTGCTCAAGGCTACAGTTCTACCACCTGAGCCACAACTCCACTTCCAGCTTTTGGCTGGGTAATTGCAGATAAGTCTTTCCAGCCTGGGTGGGCCTCAAACCATGATCCTCAGTTCTCAGCCTCCTGGGTAGCTAGGATGACAGGCGGGAGCCCCAGCGCCGGGCTGCAAAACCATCCTTCAAGGCAGATCTTACAGTCCAAAGAGGGTGTGGCAAAGGTCAGCACCCTGGGATCTGAGCCACCTCTGTGACCCAGAGGTCCCCCCTCCAGCCTCTGAGAAGACAGGAATGCAAACAGTAGAGATTAGGGCCAGAATGCCTGCAGCCTGCCCAGCACCTCCCCCAGCCAGGTGACCCCACGAGCTAGGTGTGCCCCACCCCCACCCCACAGCTGGGGAAACAGAGGCACTAAGCACCACCCAAGGCTCCCGCCATTGCTCTGCCTGGCCACTGCTCTGCCTGCCCGCAGCCCAGCCCTGAGGCGGCTCCTGCCGGAGGGAGGTGGCTGCATTCTTCCACCCGGCCCAGAAATGTCAGTGTCACACAAAGTCCTGGCTGTTTGCTCCCATGATCCCTCACGGCTGGGGACAAGTGTCCCCTCATGCAGACCAGGGATGGAGGCAGGTTTGGAGCACACAATCCACATTCCTGAGGACTGCCGTGGTGCCCTTTTCTTTCATCTCTGGAAACATACAGAACATTCCTGGTCCCTTCCCTGGGACCACGTGACCCCTGGACGTGCCCTGAGCTGGAACTCTCTGTGTCCCTGAGTCAGGACCCCCCTCCCCCCATCCCGGGCACCCCACCCAGTGGTGCTGCTTGGCATTCCTGGCGCTCCTCTGGGGGTAGGCTTGGGGGTGGCACTCATGAGGACAGAGCCCAGGGGCCTGGAGGGGCATGTGAGGGACTCCCCCCTTCCCCCGCAATGCCCAGCCCAGGCCCATGCCAGGATGCTTGTGTGTCCTGGGACGGGTGGCCAGGCAGTTGGTGACCTGGAAGTTGGGGGTGGGTGCCCCACCTCCAGGCTGTGTGGCCTCCTGTCCCCACATACACAGGTGTGGCAGGACCGTGGTGTGGCAGGTGAGATGCGCACTTGACAAGTTACTTTCATGTTACACGGGTTTCCTCTCCACTAGAAAAGAGAGAGGAGCCGAGTGGCTCATGCCTGCAATCCCAGAACTCAGAAAGCCGCATTCTGAGGATGGAGGATTGAGGATCAAAGTCAGTCTGTGAGACTCTTGTCTCCAATGAACCATCGAAAAGCTGGAAGTGGAGCTGTGGCTCAAGTGATAGAGCACTGGCCTAGAACAAACAACAAAAAGCCCCAGGATTAGCACCTAAATAAACAGATACATGCATAAATAAATAAAGCCCCTGTCTAAGAGACTGCCACACTGCTGGTGCTGGGGTGGGGCGGTTTCCAGGGGGTTCACCCCTCCCACAGTTACCCACCACAGGGAGCCCCATCAGAGGCCTGGCCATCCTAGGACCCCTCTGGAGAAAGGACTCCTCCCTAGTGATCTGGAATAAGGAGAGAGTGGGGTTCCCAGAAGGGAAGTGATGGGGAGCCACCCCTCTTGGACAGCAGGGCACAGAACCCCTGGAGAAATGAAGCCCCCTTTCCCCTCCCTGTCCCCATTCCAGTCTGTGACAAGTGCTGGCATCCATCCAGGAGCCATGTTCACAAATTTACAAGGAGAAGGTGGCCTTCCTCTTCATCCCTGCCCTGGCCCCACCCGTGCTCCTGAGTCCAGGAGTTTCCCATCCAATCAAACATGAGATAAGGACCCTGGCCAGTGGTGGTGGACGCTGGTGGCCTGTGGAGATCACAGATGAAGACTGCCCCTCCCAGGCCCTCCCAGTTGTATGCAAATGAGGCCCAGCCTGCAGCTCCGCTCCCTGACCCCTCACCCCTGAGTGGCACTTAACCAGCTGCGTGTCACCCCTGCCCACCCCCAGGACACTGCCCGCTGGCCCCTCCACAGCCTCCTCTTACCTGCTGGCCTCTGCAGGATGGGAGAGGCTGGGGAGTGCCCTGTGCTTCTCCACGTGCACCCCCAGACTGCATAGGGCATGTGGGCTGGGATGTGGGCCCTGGGGTCTGTCCGCTCTGCAGAAGGGGGTTGGAATAGGGCTGGAGCTTCCCCTGGGGTCCCCACTCCCCTGCTCCAGGCCTCACAGGAGAAGGGAGTTGGGGGAGAAGCCAGATCCTGGCTTGGGCCCCAGGTGCTGTGCACACCCCGCTAAGTGAGAAACCCTTTCCACCCACCAGTCACGGCAGTCCTGCTGCGCACAACCTTTGTGGGGCTCCCCAGTGCTCTTGGGGTACCCCTTTCCCACGTCAACTCTTCTGACACACCTGTCCAGCTTCTCCATCCTCCTGAGCTCCACTTTCCTACCACAGGGCCTTTGCTTGAGCTCCCTCCATCAAGACCACATGGCGCTTCCTCATTCTCCCTGCTTAGCGCCCAGCTCTGTCCCTTCCCTCAGGAAACCTTCCACATGACAGGTCGCTGCCCCTTCCTTCCCTTCCCGGTGGCAGTCCAGTCACTTGAGATTGTTTCCCTCAATGGATTCCCCCATTCCAGGCTTGGGTTGCCAGGAGAGGGGGGCTGTC